CCCGTCCCCTAGTCCGTGCCCTCCCTCTCCTCCCGTCCCCTAGTCCGCCGCCCTCCCTCTCCTCCCGTCCCCTGGTCCGCCGCCCTCCCTCTCCTCCCGTCCCCTGGTCCGCCGCCCTCCCTCTCCTCCCGTCCCCAGGTCTGCGCCTTACTGCCCTCCCAGCTCCTGGTCCACGCCCTCCTACCAACCCGTCCCCTGACCCACACCCACCTGCCCTCCCGTCCCCCAGGCTGCACTCTCCCATTCTCTGGCCCTCTGGCATCTAGTGACACATCACCCCTCTGGCCTCTCTGTGTGGCTTCATTCAGCCTGAAGTCTTTGTTTTCCTTTCCAGGGGAGAAACACGGCGACGCTCTGTCTGCATTCAAAGTGAGAGCCCCGGCTGTGGGCCCCGTTGTGAAGATAGAGGCCTGTTAAATCAAGGCCCATCCCACACTGAACTCTGCTGGGGGCCTCAGAGCATTACGAGGTCCCTTAGCTGTGGCCCCTCAGCCATGGCCCTTCACCGAGACCCCCCACACCAGAGACACTGAACCATAACGACAGTCACAGCCACCTGCCCCCGTTCTGTGTAGCGCCCCCTCTCTGTCTACCAGTGCCACTGACCCCACAAATGCTGCACTGTGTGTGTTACTCTCGTCTTTTTTGTTGAGGTTGCCTTGTACCCCATCCAGAACTCTGTCCAACAGCCCCCCCCCCTCCCATTCGAATGCATATTCTGTGTGTGGGGGGGTGTCCCTTCCAGCCCCCAGGTCCTGCCGGGCTGGTCTCGTCAGGGAAAATACACAATGATGCCAAGAAGCTACTTTATTAATCAGATATATTTTGAATGATTTTATATTTTTGATTTTATGTATATTTTGTGGTTGTTTTTTATTTTTCTATATAAATATATGACACAGTATGAGCTGTGGAGAGGGGCATGGGTTCGAGGCCCCTTTTGATAACTGTATAACAGACAGCCACCTCTCAGTATCTGTCAGCTGAGACGTGATGGTCGCGGCTTTCAGGATGTGATGATGATCTTTTTATACTTTTACAAGCAAGATTTGGACAAACCTGTTAGACTTGGTGCTGAAGATGCCTCTGCTCTCTTGTTCTAAATGGACGTTTGCAAATGTATTTCTTCTTAAATATATTCATGCCATCAGCCAGCCTTTGTTCAGTTTCATATTCATTGCAGCCTATAGTCTGGACTTATGCCACTTTGATGCCACACAGGAGTTTTTATAAAATTTTAAAGAAGGTTAAAATATTTTCAACTTTTTCATCACTGTCACCTTGAATCAATACTTAACCGCAGGTTAAATGTGTTTTACAGCAACGACACACTTGGTAATATGAGTTGGAAAATAAACACCTTGAAAACGAAATCGCTGTAAAATCACTGAGTGCATGAGCTACATGCAGTGGCTGGGGGCGGCTGTCCCACATCTCACAGCCAGCAGGGGGCAGCAGAACATGTCAGATGAAGTATTAGTCACTGCCTGATCTCTACTCGGGGTGACAAAGCCAGCTTTGCTGTACAGGAGGATTGAAGAGTGATGGGGTTAATCAGCAAAGGGCCAGAAAACAGGAAGCAAGCGATGAGGACGGGCAGGTGTGTGTGCATCTTCCGGGGACACAGGAGGACTGCCACCATGAAGGGCTGGGACACCTGATGTCGCATGGCTCAGCACCTGAAGGTTGCTGGCTCCCAACCCAGCAGGAGGCGCCATTACAGTTAGGCACCTGAAGGTTGCTGGCTCCCAGCCCCGTGGAGAGTGCCATTACAGTTATGCACCTGAAGGTTGCTGGCTCCCGGCCCAGTGGGGAGTGCCATTACTGTTAGGCACTCTTCTTTGAGACACACACCTATACACAGATAAGGTTAGGCTCCAAGCACAGGACCAGCTGTCCATGCACATTTTTGGGGCGGGTGTGTTAAAGGCTTGCTCAATGGTCCGAAGAAAATGCGATTATTCTGCAGAGGCTAGGGCTTGAACCAGTGACCATTCGGTCCCAGGTGCAGAGGCCTGAGCCACACGCCTCCTGATGGATTGGGTTACGCTCATTGCACCATGTTTCCATTTCGCAGAAGGGAAGGTTTCACTTTAAAATGTTGATTCTTTGAATAAGAAGTAGTGAAAGTAATGAAATTTCCTGGAAAACGAAAAGTGCCCAGATAATGATTGGTGATGTTATACTTTACTGCCACCTAGTGTGAGAACAAGGAAATGACACAGCAGTCAGCACAGAGGATGAGCCAATGAGTTATTTAATGCAGATTCATAGAGGAATGATGTGAAATGTTATGACAGCAGCGGTGTGGAACGCTTCATTCACACATGACGGTATCATAAATACCTGTCTCTTAATAAAGCATATATTACATTTGATAATATATATATAGATATGTATATAAAAAGTGCATATCACCAAATAAAAAATATATATATAGAAAATATATATATTTTGTTGCAAATGTGCCTACTTCCATTGACTTTAAAAATTCAAAATTTCACTCCAAATTTGTTCAAAAATCAGCCCTGAAAGTTTCAGAATCAAAAACATTTTCGCATTTACCTGAGGCCGGAGCATTAAGGAAAGTGCCCACTTTGTACTTACGTTTTTAGAAATGCTCCTATAATCATTTTTCAGCGTTCACTCCCGTAGCAGAGCCTGATTTTAAAACATCAAAGCACACTAAAGCACAGCCAGCTGTGGCCTGTATTGGGTAAGTAAGCAGTCAGCGTCCAATCATGTTACAGAAAAGCCTGAGGAAAGAAAGGTCCTCCGAGGCGCTTCACTCCTGTATTGGTTCATGATGCGATTCGCAGGAATGGGCCGGAAACTCAGGCCGGGGGGCCGTGGCGAGGCGTGACGCGCAGTGAGTACGGGAAGGGGGCCAGAGTGAGGCCGAAGCGGCCATCCATCGCTGGGAGCGCCGCCCCTTCGGGAAGCCGGAACGTGAAGGCCTGCATCAAGCCGGTGAACATGAGGAAGAGCTCCATCTTGGCCAGCTGCTCGCCCATGCAGACGCGGCGGCCTGCAGGGAGGAGAGAGGCAAATGGCAGGCGCTGAGTGTGTCGCCTCATCACACACACGCACACACACACACACACACGCACACACACACACACAGAGCTGAGCCACCAGGTTACTCAGCCCAGCAAACACAGATTCATTAGTGCGATTAGCGAATTAGCAGCCAGCCCGTTGGGGGAACACACAGAGATGAGCCTGTCCTCATCCACGGCCACAAACTGCCATCGAAACTGGCGGGATGCCAAAAAAATACACAAAAGATGTATGGATGCATGATCAAAGATGGAAGATTGCAGGTGCATTGATGAGTGTACATTAATATGTCGACAGTAATGTGCAATCAGCAGTAGTGAGTAAAGAGTTACTGGGCATTACGGCACATTTCAGGCCTGTCACTGGCAGGGAGAGACTCTTCCCAGCACATGCAGTTACGGCTGGACGAGGGGCTCACGTGTGAAATTAAAACATGATACAGCCCTTGTGTCTGATAACGGAGGGATCAGGGTTTGAGACACTTTTCCATAAAGTAAGAGTGTTAAGAGTAAGAAAGGGTTAGTCTCAGTCACCGATGCCAAACGGGAGGAAGTGCTCTCTCCTCTGGACCTCTCCATTGCTGTCCAGGAATCTGCTGGGATTGAAGACATCTGGCTTTTCCCACACGGCCGGATCTCGATGGACAGACCACAGGTTTGGGAAAATCACTGTCCCCCTGGGGATTGTGTATCCACGAAACTCTGGAAGTGAATCCGTGAAAAGAGCAGAAGTGAACTTTGTTAAGTCATTAGTTAAGTAAGGTGCAGCCACAGGTACATCAATGACATTCAGAGAGCGAGCGTTTGAGAAACTGACGCTTAAGATGGTGCCCCAGAGCAGTATGCACGCTTAAGATGGCACCCCAGAGCAGTATGCATGCATAAGATGGTGCCCCAGAGCAGTATGCACGCTTAAGATGGCGCCCCAGAGCAGTATGCACGCTTAAGATGGCACCCCAGTGCAGTATGCATGCTTAAGATGGCACCCCAGAGCAGTATGCACGCTTAAGATGGCGCCCCAGAGCAGTATGCACGACCGCTGACCCTTCACCTGTGGTCTGTGAAGCCATATGTGGGATGGCCAAAGGGACGACAGCGGTCATCCTCTGTACTTCCATGATGCTGGCTTCTGTGTATGGGAGGCGGGCCTTGTCGGTCAGGGAGGGTGCCCTACCCACCGGCACCACTGAGTCAATCTCCTGGTGGACCTTCTCTGAGGAAACACAGAAAGAAAACACAGAATTGCACCATGTTCAGCCAGTCTCAGTCCCGCAGAGATACCCTGCACATCTGGGTACTGGCTCAGCACCTCCTGCATAGACCTCAGACCCATGGAGATACCCCGCACATCTGGGTACTTTCTCAGCACCTCCTGCACGAACCTCAGATACACAGAGATACCCTGCATATCCAGGTACAGGCTCAGCACCTCCTGTACAGACCTCAGACTCATGGAGATACCCTGCACATCTGGGTACTGGCTCAGTACCTTCTGCACGGACCTCAGACACACAGAGATACCCTGCACATCTGGGTACAGGCTCAGCACCTGCTGCACGGACCACAGGCACACAGAGATACCCTGCACATCTAGATACAGGCTCAGCACCTCCTGCATGGACCTCAGACCCATGGAGATACCCCACACATCTGGGTACAGGCTCAGTACCTCCTGCATGGCCCACAGACACACAGAGATACCCTGCACATCTGGGTTCAGACTTGGCACTTCCTGCACGGACCTCAGACATACTGAGATACCCTACACATCTAGGTACAGGCTCAGCACCTCCTGCACGGACCACAGGCACACAGAGATACCCTGCACATCTAGGTACAGGCTCAGCACCTACTGCACGGACCTCAAACACAGAGATACCTTGCACATCTGGGTACAAACTCATGTAGAGCAGGATCCAGAGGATGGTGTTGGTAGTGGTGTCTGTGCCAGCGATGAAGAGGTCCCCAATGATGTAGAAGAGATAATCCTCGGAGAAGCTACTGTCTGTGGGCCCTCTCTCCTGCTGCTGGGCCATCTCTATCAGATACATGTCAATTAGGTCCCGGGGGGCACTGGGGTCCAGGCTGCTCCTGTGCTCGGCGATCATAGCCTTCAGGAAGCGGGTGATACGTGACTCCACCGTCCTCACCTCTTTGAACACGCCAAAGGGCAGGTAATACAGCCAGGGGAACACGTTGATCAATATGGCTGCACTGTTCATCACTATCTCCAGACCCCGGGACATGAGGTCCAGCATGGCTCGGAACTCATCATCAAGGGGCTGGAAACGGCGGCCGAAGCTGAGGGAGCAGATCACGTTGGATACGGCGCCATTGATGAGATGGGCAGGGTCAATGGCGCCCCACCCCACCTCTACACTTAGCTGCAGTAGCTCCCGCTTCACCAACAGCACCTCCTCTTGGATGCATGGCTCCAGGCTCAGCTTGCCCAGCCCAAAGCTACGCAGGGCAGCATGGCAGAACCTCCGCTGCTGCCTCCACACCTGCCCGTAGGGGGCGAACACGATGCCTGGAATGGAAGGGACAGAGAGAGGGCAATGAACGCGCGACCACGTCATGAGCGCGCTGTGAACACGCACCCGCAGGGCACTCACCTCTCCGCTTTGTCAGCATGGAGATGACAGGCACATCTGGCCGGTCGGAAAACACCTCGGCGTGGTTAGTGAGGGCGTCCCGGACGGCGTCATATCCCGTTAATATGACCACCAACTGGCTGCCGATAAACACGCTATACACGGCGCCGTAAACCTCGGCCAACTCCGTCAGCAGCACCTGCGGAGACTGCATGCGTCTCTTTGACCCGTCATCTCCATACTTATACCTTCTTATCCACTTTAAGATAAATTTGGGCACCAAGAAATAGCCACAGTTGCCAATGATGGGCAGGGGTGCAGGGCCGGGCGGAATGTTGCAAAGTTCTCGGATCCTCTTCCGTCTCTGCATTACATAAAAGACGCCAAAGAAAGTAAGCGAGACCACAAGCGCCGTGCTGACGCCGGACTGCTCCCACCACGGATCCCCCTGCATGGCGAACAGATATCTGGGCGAATGCACAGTTATCGCCGGGTTCTGAAGCCTATCATTCAGCCCCCCGCCTCATAAACATCCACGGGGGCGAAGCCTGCACGCGGAAAGGAATTGGTCACAAAGTAGCCACTGCGAGACGGACAGCAGTGCCTGATTGGCTGGTACGGACCCGACGAGAAGGGGCGGGGCGAATTGTAACGTATAAGCCAATTGGAGCTCACAAAACACTGGTGACGGAAGTGCAGCACGCGACCAAAACAAAGTCAGGTGACAACGCGGGTAAACACGGAATGTATTTGCCTGGTGCACTGAAATCCAAACCGTGTTCAAATAAGATTTAAAATAGAATTAGTATCTAGTCATCGGACATTACTGCTTAGTTATCTACAGCGCCCGAAAAAGTTGGGCAGCCAGTCAGCCTTGGGAGTTTCCGGTTCCTCTCTGTTGTCTTATGGCTTTTTTTTATCTGTATAAATGATATAGTGATGGATTTCAACACACCCCTGTCGAGTGCCTTCGGGTGACCCTGACCGGAAAGGCGCTATATAAAACTAATTGTTGTGAATTACAGTAGTGCAGTCTTAAGATTTGAACATCGTACCGGACACCAGAACGTTAACGTGTTACATCGCCTGCGATTAGTAGGTGGCGCTGTAGTCGTCAGAGTTCCTCCTCTTTCCCTTTAATGTCATGCTTGGCGCCAATAAGCCAGTCAGCATCAGCCAACTGTTAGTACACAGTTTACGCTTTATTTAACACTCACCTGCCTTTTACAAACAGATAATACTGCACAATGCCAGTGTAACACTTTTAGAAGAATCAACATGAAGCATCCAGGGTGATCTGGGTTGGTGCAGGATTCTGTTGGCATTCATCATCCTTCAGTATAAAAATGACTTTCACGATAAACTCTGGATTTAGTTTGAAATGAACCATAATGCCGGTCTGCCTTGAGTGTGGTGGGTGTGACGCATCCCAGCTTAGTTGTAACGTTCGTTACATGCTGTCAGTACATTTACTATTCAGTTCTTTGTAAATTTCAGTCCCTGACACTTACAGCGTTTTAAATGCTGATTTTTATTATTATTATTATTATTATTATTATTATTATTATTTTTAGTTCATCAAGTCTTAAAATACTGCATTTCTGCATTATACAACATTTCATCAGTATTGATGTCCAGTGGAGACGGTTCACTAGCGGATGGAATAGCCGTGGTAAAAGAGCGGATCCAAGCAGGCTGCCGTGCATCTCCATTAACGTCACTGTGGCCGTGTGGTTGAGAGGCATTAAGGAACATGAACCAAAAGACCATCATTCCCGACCCTAACCCCTTCACTTTGAGAGTGAGACATCCCCACCCCCCCAGCATAGGCAGTGTGAGATGTGTGAAAGTAGGCTACTGGTCGAAACTGAAAACAATTTAATAAACGTATAACTGCCTTTTTTTTATTATTATTTGCACAGTCATAAAAATATATAAAGCAGAAAATACACACTCTGGAAAATAAACTTTAAATATAAAATGTATACATGAAAGAACTGCAGTAAAACGTCACATTGAGACATACTGTGCTAGACATATCTATGTGTTAAAAACATCAAACAGAGAACCTGACTTGTTTGACTGAAGAAAAATACAACAATACCACAGAGTTACCTGCAGCTGGCTGTGCCCGTATGGTCTGTGCCGGTATGGTCTGTGCCCGTATGGTCTGTGCCTGTATGGTCTGTGCCGGTATGGTCTGTGTCCGTATGGTCTGTGCCTGTATGGTCTGTGCCAGAGGCTGAGCTTTCTGGACGGATCTGGGCACACTTAGCGGCAGCATTCATGTAAACAATAAGCCAGAACTGGGACCACAGCTAAGCACAGTACGCACTTGCCGCTGGATGCCTGTCTAGGTGCGGGGTATCTAATGCCATTTAGGTCTCCATAGTGTCTCATAGACATGCCTTAAAGCTGCTTTGCCTTTCAGTTTGATATCTTTATCTTTTGGGTGGTCCGGAGTACACAAGGACGCAACCAACTTAATCCCTTCAGTCCTGATCTTACATTTCTCATAATGCATGAATTATTTTTATTCATAAATATACTCTATTAATGGTGTGCAGGACTTATCAAAACAACATACATACCGTTTTTTAACCTGGAACAATCTCTACCTGATTCCCTTTCAGATATTCTGTGTATTACACCACCTTACAGAGTTGGTGCACGTTGATTCAAGTTACCCATTAATCCTGCACCAGCTGGGATACCTCATGCCCACCATCATCTTCTTTGTGACAGCATGCTGGCCTGTACTGTAACGTTCAGTCACACGTGACCCTGGGCGCCACCAGAGCAGTGGTCCCAGACTGAGGCCCGTCACTCGTCGCGTGCGCTCTGTACCATGGAGTATCTTTTGCAGGAGTTTTTCAGGCAGGAGGGCGGCCAGCTGATGGGCCAGCAGAAGGTGCATGGCACCGAGGTCCCCACGTTCTTCTCCAGGAAGCTGAAAACGGGGTCCCACCAGATGTTCCTGAGGTAGTGGTTTGACAGGTTCTGGGTCTGAGAGTGAAAGCCAGATGAATACAGCAAAAATTAGTGTACAGCCAGGAAAATCAGCATAAGTCCATGAGAGTGTGGATCCGAAGTGCATGCAAGAAAACCAAAATCAGAAAACAGCCATAAAGTTTTTTTTGCAGTGCAAAAATAAAACATATTTAAAGTGTGGAGTGATGACCGATATGAACGCACTGCAACACATGGCACTGGACAGGTCGTGTGTTCATAAACAGCAGGACCAGTAAGGACCAGCAGGGGGCAGTAAGCTACTGAGAAATGAAGCCATAAGTGACAAAGAGAGAACTGCCTGCCAAAGTCTTGGTGGAACTGAAGTTTTATGTATCATATTTACAGCCAAAAGTAGAGGTGGGGCAATTTCCATAAAATAATCACTTCATTCAAGTGACTGAAGGGTGTAACAAAAGCAGGAAATCAGACCCTTGAGGACGCGTCTCTCTCGTCTCCGGTGAAACTTCAGGACAGTATTTAGCACATTCCGGAACGACTGTACAGTTACTGGAAGAGACTTTTCTCAAAGATCTGCTCTGTTTATCAGAAGCCCTCTGCTGTGTACCTCTTTAAAACAACCATATTATGTAAAGTAAATGTGTAACAACAAAACAACAAAATGCACACAATGACTCTCGTTTTTCCCACGTGCTGTCATTCCGGGGTTTTGCGCCTTATGGACACATGGGTGCGGTCTGGTCCATGACGCGCTTTTACTGCAGAGACAAATAAGTCCTTGAATGAACGGTGATCTGAGCTGGCAGGTGGTTTTTATGGAGGCAGACATGCCCAGATCTAATGGCAATGAAAGTAGCGCCTCTCCCCAGACACTCCACGGCACTGAGGTAACCTGCAGACAAACTCGAAGCGCGAGAATGAGGAGGCGGGCCCTCTGATTGCTGCCGGCTGATTGGCCCTTGCGGCGTGTTTGAAGCTCACCTGGTCTTCGGCCATGGCGTGGTACCACCAGAAGAGGCGCGACGTGACGAAGTAGGCCACCACCACATCCACGCTATAGTGCTCATGGCCCAGAAGGATGCCAAGGATACCACTGACACTCAGCAGCAGGCAGAGGCGCCGGTACCACACCCAGCAGAGAGAACGCGGGGAGTCTGCGGAGACAGAGGAACAGTCACCCTCGCGCTGCCAACAGACACATAGGACATGGGGAAGGGTGCCCCCTTGTGGTAGCAGGGTGTACCTACACTCTTTGATGAACAGGTAGGTGAGGGTCAGGATGACGGTGTGGCCGCTGTACAGGAAGTCGCCGCACATCATGTGCGAGCCGGTGATAGACAGTCCCGCCCCCGAGATCAGCTGCAGGATGCGATGCACCTTAGCCTGTGAGTCGCTGTACAGCTGAGGGGGCAGAGGTCAGAGGGCAGCAGAGGTGATGGGGGTGCGGGAGCTTTCGCAAATACAGCGCGTCACGATAACCTGAGCCAGTCCATCAGCTACGGCGCATCACTGCGGCGTAATGAGGGGAAGCAGCTCCGCAAAGGCAATGAAACATCAGCCAGCCTACTGACTGCAGCCATTTACTGTCATAATTTACAGTGCTGTCTGCTGTAAGGCAGAAACATGGCCGGCTGTGGTGTGGAGATGGATCCCAGGTGAAGGTCCCAGCAAACAACATGAGGGCCGCAGGACCGACATCACCTGCACCAAGGGCTCCCCTGTCTCTCTATCCTCAGAGAGACAGAGAGAAGCGCAGATCACTGTTTATATTAGTCACAACCCTGCCTTTGCAAGCATGATCCATGGAGGAGGTTACAGGGTACACCTGCAGAGCGGGGGCTCCGGCTGGGGGCCACAGACGGGCTGGTTGACTCACCTTGGGCGCACAGCTCATGAACATGCCGGGCACGGGCAGAGTGGTGATGTACATGGTGATACAGCGGTACAAGTACAGGGTCCCCATCAGGAAGAAGAACCGTCTGCCCACTATGGCCCTGGCGGGATGCAGGCACATGGTGAGACGAGGCCCCTCTGCAGCCCCCTGGACGCGGGAGAGAGCGGGCCTGCCGCGCATTAGCTAATGCTAATGAGGACCCGAACCCAGACAGGGGCTCAAACCAGCAGCAGCTACGCATGTAAACATCCGGCAAGAGGGGGGCACTGTCTGCAAACTGACAGAGTGTAGCTGGCGGAAACGAGAGCGCAAAGCAGGGCAGCGTGGGAGCCCCCCCCAAACCGACAGCCTGCCCTGCAGGGCAGCGTGGGAGCCCCCCCCAAACCGACAGCCTGCCCTGCAGGGCAGCGTCGGAGCCCCCCCCAAACCGACAGCCTGCCCTGCAGGGCAGCGTGGGAGCCCCCCCAAACCGACACCCTGCCCTGCAGGGCTCTTGCAGCCAGAATCATCCACCAGGGAAGTGGGGAAGCAGCAATGAGTCGAGCTTTTCGTCTTTTTCGTAAGCGATCCCAGGCGAGACGCTTTTCCATTTTATAGGCGAGCGCCGGCAGCGTGACACACGAGCCCCGTTAACCGGGCCAACCTGAACCGCGGTTTCTACTGGCTTCCCGGCGAACGCGAGCCAGAAGGCGGAGGCTCTCTCGAAGTGCACAGAACCGCCGATGTTCTCCCTGAGCGCGGTACACGCGCATCGCATAGTTTGTTGAATAAAAGCACATAGGTTGCAAAGGACAGGAGGGCAGTAGGAGGAGGTGAAGGAGGAGGCCACTTACTTGTATCTGAGGAGGAGCCAATGCCCAAACCACAGGCTGACCAGGACCATCCCATTGATCTCGGTCACAGAAAAGGCCCAACTGACACGGTCAAAATAATCAAAGAATTTATCGGGCAAAGGGGCGCAGATCTCCTTGGCCGGAACTCTCTCATGAACCACGGTGATCATGACGGTGGTGAGAAGCAGGTTGAAGAGGGCGTAGATGAAGGCCACGGCGGTCTTCCACCACTCCGAGGGCAGCTGCTCACTCTGCGGGTCCGACAGCGAGATGGTGACGTAGTCTCTGTGCTTCCTGATAGCCCGGCAGAGGCCCTGGCAAAGGCCGTGGCAGAGGCAGATCCGAGGGGCCCGCTCAGGGGTCCCGTCGGCCCCGTCCGTGGGCGGGATGCCCCGCGGCACGCCGTTGGGCAGCGGGCTAATTCCATCTTCAGTGTGGATGTCGACATGCCCATTAGGGGGCGCTGTTGTTACCGGGAGCTGAGATCTCGCCATGGGGCTGCTGCGGAGGGCCAGGCCTTTGGGATGACGGGGGGGGCGGGGGGTTTGTCCCGAGCAGCAACGGGACTGCAACCCTGACGGAGAAGATACGAAAAAAAGAGAAAATGCTGAATTCCCCTGAGTCAGGAAAAGAACGGCAGCAAGGAGTGACAGTGAGACCCACTTAACCTGTTCCAGAAGAGGGAAGCGTCACAATTTGTGTGCGCTCCCAGGGATTCGAACCCATAACCTCTGTGGCGCTGAGCCAGTATGTCCTTATGCGGGCAGACGGGGTATTACAGTTAGTCATCTGAAAAATGACTATATTATTCTATAGAGCCGTTCAGTGTTGTGCCGGGGAGTGATGAATCACTCTCCAAATTTACGAATAGCAAGCTTGCGCTGAGTAATGTTAGAAAACTGCCCATTACCCATGATAAGAGATCTATTTATACACATATTGACCAGCTATTTTCGCAACATTTCTCCTGCAGCCAAAACAGCACAAGAGAGGCAGAGCTATTCACGGCTGACATAATGATTTCTGTTTAAAAGGATTCCGAAGCAGGACTGAAAGGACGGAGCCCCGCCCGGCAGCCTGAGCCGATCCTCACGCTCAAACAGGTTTTCAGCTCTGTGCTGCTTTTCTGATAAGGACTCAGATTCCTCCTCAAAACGTCATCAACCCCCCCTCCCCCCACTCCACCCCACCCAGAGGTTTCAGTGAAACCAAAGCAGGAACATCGATTGTCCTCTAGTGTCTTGTAACCAATTCACAATGACAAGGAAATGAGCAAGACCATACAGACAGAAGCGCAAGTCAACTGGCACAAAAGTGCTTTTAACCCCCACAAATCCAATAAAACTACAGACACATCTTCTAACTGCTGATGCTGGTCAGGGTCGTGGGGGCGGATGGGAATGGGGCACAGGGCAGGGGGACACCCAGCCCACCAGTAAAACTAAAGGGGAGGAAATTATTTTAAGCAAACTGGGTTCTCTGCTCTTTGGCTAGGTTCACTTTGGCTAGGTTCACTTTGGCTAGGTTCACTTTGGCTGGGTTCACATTACAAGCCTCATTGTCTCAATTCTGATTTTTTTGCTCAGATCGGATTTTATCTTTGCGGTTCACATTTGTAATTATTGGGTACCTGTATCTAAATGTAACATGAACACATCTGCCCTCCGAAATGGCGCACATGCACACTGACACGCTTTGCATGAGCTAGAACAAAAAACACTCAGCACATGCGTATACGCCAAAAAAAAACCACATGAATTCTGATCTGATTGTCATGTCGTATGACCATGTATCTGATCTAGGACACACATGAAAACGACTTGAAACCATCAAATCTGTGTCACATTAAGGAAAAAATCAGATTTGAGTGACTCCGGCCTAAGAGGAAAGGCGGTATGTAAATGTGTGGGACAGCCTCCGGCACTCAGGGCAGGATAAGTGGGAGACAAACGCCCAAGCTGGGGTGTGTGAGGCTGGGAGGCCAAGCTGATCTGTGGAGGCTTGTGTACACAGCAGGTACACACCCTCTCTCTGGGAACCCAGGGTGGGTGTGAGGCGTCACCTCCGCAGGCTGCTTCCATGCCGACAGGGACACGCAGGCGCAGACACAGCCATGCAGGTGCAGGCACAGATGCAGCCACGCAGGCGCAGGTGCAGCCACGCAGGCGCAGCCACGCAGGCGCAGCCACGCAGGCGCAGACACAGCCACGCAGGCGCAGACACAGCCACGCAGGCGCAGACACAGCCACGCAGGCACATAACCACATAGGCAAGCTTTCACACAGTGATGCAAATGTACAGTCATACAGGTGCACAGCTATGCAGCAGAGAACACAGCTATACAGCCACATATGCCCACACAGGAACATGGCCATACAGGAACACAGCTACGCACACGGCTATGCAGGCACACGGCCAGTCACACGGCTACGCAGGTATTTGGCAAAGCAGGCACACATGGCTGGGAATATCAGCAGTGGATAGCATGCATTCCATACTACGAGTGGTGCAATTACTCAAGACAGCGGCTGATATGTTCACGTGACCCAGAGCCACTGGATCAGGTGACCTGCGTGCTTGGCAGCGATGCAGAGCGGAGCTAAACAAAGGCAGCTTTACGCTTCACTATTAAGGAACTGGAATTCATTCAACAATCTGGCACACCCACTAACTACATACAGCCTGGTGACCAAAAATACACAGTGGAGGCACAGCACAGCCCTGTCTCTGCAGCAGCCACAGAAGCCGTAAACACAGCCGCGACCCACCTGTGATAGGGACGGCGGTCAGGCCACACAGCTCTGTCTCTGCAGCAGCCACAGAGGCCGTAAACACAGCCGCGACCCACCTGTGACAGGGTCAGGGGTCAGGCCGTACCCACAGGGATAGTCATTGACAAGGCAGCCCTAGCTAAATCAGCTCACATTTTCTGATGAAATCTACAGCACAGAACCAGCACAGAAAAGGAGTCCGTTTCCTGCTCAGCAGCCGCAGATCAGTGGAGGACTGTGCGGCTGTGCGGCTGTGTGGCTGTGCTGCTGTGCTCCAGCATTCCAGGCCATTCCGGGCAATGACAAGCTATACAGGTTTTTCTGCTTCGCTTGAGCTCAGTACCAATCTATTGTCATAAAAGATTCCTTCAAAGGCCATTTGCTATTGCGTGGTTCCTGAAACACATCCGCCTTTTTCTTAAAAGGCTCATTATGCGGGCTGTCAGCTTACTCTCTATCTCCCTGGGGGGCTTGCCTTCCAAACAAACAAACAATCAGGAATGTGGCCGAAAGCCTGAGAGGGTCCTGTTCATAGTGCCTACGTTCACACGGCAGGACAAATGTGGCCCAAATCCGATTTTCTGCTCATATGACTCAGATTGCATTTTTTCAGGACAATGTGAACAGCACAAGTCACATGGAATACGATTTTTTCAATTCCAATTTGGGCCACTTCAGTATGTGGTCATAAATCGGATACAGGTCTGATTTTTTTGCAATGCGACCTTAGTCTGAACAGCAAAATCGGAATTCATGCGACTTTTACGTCACTCTCGATCGACGTTCGTCACAATTCTGCGCAGGCGGAAGTCACCATATGTCCCCGTCAAAGTGCCAAACATGGAGGAGAGCACAGAAGCTGGCCAGTGGAGGGACAGTGAGGTGCTGGTTTTAAAGTATCTGGGGAGATAAATCTGTTCGAGCAAAACTGGAAGGCTCATATCGTAACCGGGCAGTTTTCGAATCAATAAAGTGACGTCTTTGTTTTTGCGAATGCACGTCATTGTGTCTTTGCTGTTTTGTGCGCACGTGGGCCAATTCAGTATAGTTGAACCGTTCACATGGAAATATGATATTGACCACTTTAGAAAGAGTAATGTGAACAGGCAAACAAAAAATCTGACCTGAGCAGAAAATCAGAATTGAGCATTAAGCCCTGCAGTGTGAACGTAGCCAGTGTTTCCAGCCTGAGATCCAGCTGATGACGTCACTGCATGATCAGCATGGTGGCACTCAAACCGCTCATCTGTGATGGAAACTCCTGTCATGTGTTCTTGTGGGATTATGGAGACACTTTATCTGAGGGGCAACCATATGGGACAATCTAATGGAGAGACCAGCATTGATGCCATTGTTGAAGGACACTCAGTCTCATACAGGACGGTCAGTTTCACACTG